TTTCTAGTAGTAGGCATATTATTCGTATTTGGATTTTGAGTAAATTTTCTTTGTATTTTAAATATATTATCTTCTAAATCTTCTAAATTTATGTTTCCTATTTCTTCTTCAGGAATTTCTAATATATTTATATTTTTTATGTTCAAATTTTCTAATTTTTATTTATTTCATTTAAAAGATTATCAGTATTATTTCCTAATTTGAATTCTTTATATTCTTTATCTGTAAATCTAGTAGGGGTAATTAAAGATCTTTCTAAAGGTTTTATTCCTAAAGGATTTTGAGTCTTATTATCTAATTTATCTTCGTAAATTTTTATTGCTACTTGGTGTAATATTTGATTTGTATAATTCAATTGACTATGAACATTTTGTATATCCATCACTGTTAGGTTTTCCTCTAATTTTCTTTTTCCTATCATTTTAAATGGTGATGCTACTACTTCTTTATTTTCTATATTTGGAAATCTAACTTCTTCTAAAGGAGGTATTTCACTTATTTTTTCTCCTGATTTAGTTTTCCATATTTTTTCAGCATTTTTTAAAACATTTATAGATAAATTTTTAAAACAATTTTCTTGAAACCAAGAAAAATAAGGAATATTTTCTTGAATTTCTTCTAAATAATCATAATATTTTTCTCTAAATTTTTTTAATTCTTCTTGGGTAAAAGTATCAAAAAACCATTGTCTTTTCTCTTTATTTTCTTTTACTAAAAATTCTTGTTTTAATAACTCTTTATTTATTTCAAATTTTTTAATTACATTTAAAGAGGGATCTATTTGTTCTTCTTCAGATAATTCTGTATTTGAAGGAGAATTAGGAGTTTAGGTTTTTCCCATTCATATTCTGGAAATGGTATTGTAGGATTGGGTCTTATTCCTTTTAGATTCATAGTTTTATGATAAGTAAAACTAGGCCTATCTAATGATCTTCTTGCTGTATGAAAAGTTTGCGGGGATGCTTTTGAACTTTCCCCTATCTTTAAAGAATTTATTCTTCTTAATGGAGTGAAAGAAACTTCTACTGCTCCTGATTTATATTCAATTATTTCTTCTATTTCTACAGGATCGGGAGGATCTGGTTTTAATATATCTTCTATTCTCCATTTTAATCCAGTGGTTATTTCATTATGCTTTAAAGTTTTAGGAACTACTGCACTTATTTTTTCAGGATTTATTAGAAGCATAGTAGTTTCATCTTTAGGAGACATTAATAAAGCTCTAGGAGCTAAATGTGTTTTCATGACTTTATAATATATTCTATATATAACTGCTACTGGATATGAGTTTTTATTCCATTTATTTTCAAGTATTTTAACATCTAATATTAAATTATTTTCAGTATTATGAAAACTTTTAAGAGCTACTGAATAATTTGGATAATTATTAATATACACTGGTCCTTGATGTAGATTAGTTTCAAACATGGCTAAAATCTGATTTTCAAGTTCAGTTGGCCTATTATCTCTTAAAGCTACAAACATCGGAGTATCCATTCCTAGCCTAAACAAAGGTTTAATTGCAATTTGAATGGAACCTATATGCATGTATTTATAATTTTTTATGTGTTCGACTATTAATGATTTGGTTATTAATGGGATTTGTTCATGGCTCGTTTTAAGTTCAATTTCTTTATCTACTGTTTTTATTACATATTCAGAGGTAAATTTTGAAGTCCATTCTTTTTCATATATAGTAGATATTTTTAACTTTGGAAGAGTCCACTTAGTCAACTGGGTTTCTATTTCTGGGATTATTAATTCATGTTGTAATAATTGATTCATATTATTTTCTTCATCATTTTTCATATCTTCTTCTAACTTATCTTTTCCTTTAAATATTTTTATTACCTTATCCATCCTATCACACAAGTAGTTTTTAACGGGAACACCTCGGGTTTTACTGCCTCTCACCAGGACTTACTACCTCTCTCCGGCTTACCAACGCTACAACTACTCACAATGAACTAAGCAAGGTTGGGATAATAAATTTATTCTCAGGAAATCTTAAGTTAGAAAATGATATTGAAATGATTCCGAAAACAAATATGTTTCAAATTTTTCAACAGAATTAATATTCTCAGAACTTATACTTCCCAGTAATGGTCTTATATTTTAGAAGATTTTCAATCTTCTAAAATTTTGTTCAAATTTTAAGATTCTTAACTTTAAGGGCTATAATGATATATATATATATATTATATATATATATATACCTTTTCTTTTCCTTCAATTTCTATTTGTATATTTTAAAATATTTGCATGTCTTTCAAGGAACAGCTTCTTTAATTCTTGTTGATACTGTTTGAGCAATTGTTCGGTGCTGGGCTATATCTTTGCAGGCAATGGAAACTCGCCTTGTTATCCCAGATCGAAAACTTCTTGCTAGGCTTGTTTTGATTAGAGAAGAAGCTCGTGATATGATGGGAGGGGGAATTTTAGATGAAAGAAATCACCGGGGATTCTATACTCTTCCTCAGCCTGAGGTATGTCGAGATATAGCTTCCATGTTTTGATCTTAACATGGTTCTCACTTTGAGCAAAACATTTACCTATAGTGTTTCAAATTCATCTGATTTTACTGTTTGTTACTAAAAGGGCTTGGAAATCAAAACTCCATAGGTTTTGAGCTTGTTTAGACACAAGTTTAAAAAATTTATTTTAATAGAGAAGCTATCAAAAGTGATTTAGCTTGCATCCAAATACACTCATTGTCTTTCATTGTCAGAAATGTTATTTTCTTGACAAAGATCTTTCTAAAGGTTTTATTCCTAAAGGATTTTGAGTCTTATTATCTAATTTATCTTCGTAAATTTTTATTGCTACTTGGTGTAATATTTGATTTGTATAATTTAATTGACTATGAACATTTTGTATATCCATAACTGTTATGTTTTCTTCTAATTTTCTTTTTCCTATCATTTTAAATGGTGATGCTACTACTTCTTTATTTTCTATATTTGGAAATCTAACTTCTTCTAAAGGAGGTATTTCACTTATTTTTTCTCCTGATTTAGTTTTCCATATTTTTTCAGCATTTTTTAAAACATTTATAGATAAATTTTTAAAACAATTTTCTTCAAACCAAGAAAAATAAGGAATATTTTCTTGAGTGTAAATTTTCTTTTCTTATAACGAAAACTTTTAAAAGGTTTATTTCTTTTAAAGGATTTTTGAATTTTTTGTTTATTTTTTCTAGAAGGAGGAGTTAATCCTTCATATCCGTATTGTGCACAAAAGTTTCCTAATTCTTTTATTCCACTTTCTTTTTGTTTTTTAATCTGTCTTTCTAATTTCATATTATTACAAATTTCTAAAGCAGTATTTTTTATTACCGATATTATTCTTCCATAAGTTAGTTCTTGCAGATTTTCATTGTATAACGTTGTTAACTTTTCTCTAACTTTAGTGGCAAAGACTGGAGGTAATCCTGCAATAAATCTTTCTTTCCAAAAATTTTCTTTACAGTCTGCTCTAGTCATTACCATCATTATAAAATTGTCTACATACCATCTAAAGTCTCCTAAGGTTGGACACCTTATGTTATGTAGAAGGATATTGGTTTTAGTATCAAAAATATTCGAATCTCCCATAAAACTTTGAATTATAGTTATTATTAAAGTTTCTACCATTAATGGTGTTCCATCTTCAGGTTTTACTATGGTTAAAATATAATTTCTTTGTTCTAAGGAGAGATAATTATCCCACCAACCTTTTAAAGATCCTGTAAATCCTGCTATTAATAATTTTACAGTTTGTTGTTCACTATGTTTTGCTCTATAGGCCGAAGCAGCCATAGACATTTCATGAGTTTTTCTTAAAATTTGATGTTCTGTCATTCCATCTATATTCCATTCAGTAATTCCTTCACCATTAAAGGAAGATGGACTTTCTAAATTCCATTCTTCAAATTGAATATCAGGAAGGGTTGGTCTTTGATAATAATTTCTAGTAGTAGGCATATTATTCGTATTTGGATTTTGAGTAAATTTTCTTTGTATTTTAAATATATTATCTTCTAAATCTTCTAAATTTATGTTTCCTATTTCTTCTTCAGGAATTTCTAATATATTTATATTTTTTATGTTCAAATTTTCTAATTTTTATTTATTTCATTTAAAAGATTATCAGTATTATTTCCTAATTTGAATTCTTTATATTCTTTATCTGTAAATCTAGTAGGGGTAATTAAAGATCTTTCTAAAGGTTTTATTCCTAAAGGATTTTGAGTCTTGTTATCTAATTTATCTTCGTAAATTTTTATTGCTACTTGGTGTAATATTTGATTTGTATAATTCAATTGACTATGAACATTTTGTATATCCATCACTGTTAGGTTTTCCTCTAATTTTCTATAGGATGTTTATAGCTGTAGGGATAACATGGCAGATTATATGAACTAAAGAACGTTTACAAAGTGAATAAAGTAAATTCCATATAATAGTAGACATCAGAATTTTTGGACTTTGCTTTGTGCTATTTGGACTTTGCTTTGTGCTATATTTGGTTTAAGCACTGTTGTTTGGGACATTTTTTAATTAATTCTAATTTATTAATTTCAATACCTCTCCACCGAGTGAGAGTAGTCCTTGAGTATTAGCTTAAAGACGAGTGATGCATAAAAAGAAAAATACTCAGTAAAATTTGTCAGAGTTTAAATGGATAATGTGCAATATATTGATGAATGTCAAATTTAGGAATATCATGCAATATTAATTCATAATTCTATTATGCGCATCATTTGAATACAAATCTAAAAATATTTTGAAGAATTTTCTACTGAAATATATTTTTTATTTTTAATAAAATAGTTTTCAAAAATACTTTTTAAGTCATATCCATAGAGGTAGGTATGTCAACAATTTTATTACAACTTCTTTGGCATAACAAAAATAAAAAAATTATTAAAAAAAAGTACAAGATGCACTTTATGATGTTATAGTCTAAAAGTAATTAACCATCAGAGCCAATACAAAGAGGATTGTGACAATAAGAATAACATGAAACTTCCATCAATTAACCCAAGAGAGAGGTCTCAAGATGAAAATATCTACAAGACAGTCTTTTGCGTTAATTTTATGACATGTAAGTTGATGTTATATACTATAAACGAAGAACATTAGAATTGAATGAATATAAACTCAAAGCAAATGATTTTATATTATTCATCGATTGAAATAAATTTTAGAATAATTATTATCGAAATCAATAAATTTACCATATATGATAATGGTAAACTGTAATTGGATGAAAATGAAAAAAGACAACATTGTGAACGATATTTAAGAAAAAGATTTGTTCAAGAAAACGAAAATTTGTTCCACCTCTCATTAAGTTTTGTTTCTTCACAAATAAAACATAAAATAATGTAAAATTACCCGAAAAAATGGAGTACGCTACACATCCTTGCAACAATTTTCTACAAGGGTATCTGCTCCAGCTATTATTTCTCCCCTACACAAATAGGAAAAAGTTGTCTAAGAACTAAAAGCTATGAGCAACCTAATATCAATACTCCTTAACCTCATTCTCCTGCATGCAACTTCTGCAATGAGGAAGAAACTCTAAATGAGAGTTTCCACAACAAAAAGTACATGTTTTGTCACAAGCATAAACTAGAAATTCAGAAATTTTAGGCCCTCCATAAACAGCAAATCTTTATTCGCTGCTTCCAACCTTCTGCTTCTTTTGTTTGGTTGTCAGAGAACTGCATAGAAAAAATAATATTAACATTGTCATATATACACACCTCAAAAACATAACAGGCCTAAGGGTGACGGTCAAATGGACAAGCTGCTTTTTAATTGATGTTTACAATTTTTTTTTAAAAGAAAAATGTTTCTAATGCAAAATAATCTAGTGATTGTCATAAATATTAAAATAAAAAACAAATTTATGATTGTTGACAATATATGTATATATATAATAGAAAAGCTGCTGATTTTGCAAGGTTATTCAAAATAGCGATTTAATCAAATTTAGATTCCTTTTAGCTTCCGAGTATTCTAAAAAGTTGAAGCAAATGAAAAACATTTAAAATTGATATTTTTACTAAAAAAATTGTAACAAATGGGACTCTAATCCCCACTAAAATCGCTTTAAAACAGTCTATTCAAGAGACAATCAGTCAATCACTTGAATAGTTCATACTACATTAGGCCACTTATGTTAGAAATAATTAGAAAATAAAGGGTTGTGAACAAGTGTTAGATGAAGGATTGAGAGTTTATATGCTTTAAGAGACATTATTCTTCTGTAACCACAAAGTTCATGAAGGGTTATTGATATTGTGCTAATTTAGTGTGCTGATTAAATAGTCATGTAATAGTTATGGGTTTCTCTACCATAAATAGAGTACCAATCCTTGTAGCTTGTGTCAAAAAACCAATACAATCTCCTGTTTTCTATAATCTCCTTTTTATTTTTATAACAAGTCATATTTGTAGAATTGGTAAACATACATATAAGTTTGGTAAACTTACCTTCCAAGAAATGTTTGTATATCAGCATCGAGACAAGTACTTAGCTCGTCAATGTTTGCATCAACCTCATTGTTACATTTCAATAGGTTGGAAGCATCTAGAAATGCAGTAGAATTCACCTTGTTGGGGATAAGTGATGAATCTTTTACCTCTGCTTTGAGATGTTCTATCAAAACAAGTGCTGCACAAAATTTCATTGGAAGTTAGAAAATGTAGCTAAATAGTAATCATGTGTTATCTAATCTAACCACCACCAGGCAAGAAGTGGATAGATTTTCATGCAACCTGATAGTAAGAAATTCATTAAATTTGCAATGAATATAATAATATTCCCTTGAGTTCTAAAACTCAAATTCAAATTGCAGGTGCAAATCATGAATTGCGACATTAATTCTCTAGAAATTCATTTTATGTATGCAACAGGAGGGTGCAATAGCCTAGGAGAAGCCAGTTTCCTCCAATGATTTCAATGAATGAAATCATGCAAAGAACATTATAACTAATTCCAGATATAACGGGTATGTGTTGTCTTTTTCTAATAAAAAAATGTGACCTCTTCTACCTTGCCTCACCATTATTAATATCAACATTAATATACAGGAACACAACAAAAGAGACATGAAACAACAAACGCATAGTTTTGTTTTTTTTATTTCATTCAAAATCATGGAACATTATGCATATGAAATTTTGAAAAGGCTTGCAAACAACGTACCAATGGCTCGAATCATTCTAAGGTTGAATTTATTTGCTAGCTCCTTACAACCTATCATTTTTGCACGCCGAATGATCAACAATTTCAAACTAATCAGCATGTCCTGCAAAAGTTTTCAATTTTGAACATCAAAACTCAAAAGTTAAGAGCTTACATGAGAAATCACTCTAAAATGAAGGGGCATATCCAAATTCATGTACACACATACCCAGCTAGTATTGACTGATCCAAGTCTACTTTAAAATAGATTTGCACATATAACCTGATCTAAGACAGGCTTTATTACACGACTATTATTTAATGAACTCGATAAAACATGGTCCACTTTAAACTAGATTTGCACGTTTAAACCAGTCTAAGACAGAGACTATCACACTGCATTCTTTAATGAACTAGATAATCCGATTATTTTTGTTTTCACATGCTCAAATGCTTTTAAAGACAATAAGTTTTATTAAAGAGAGAATAGTGGTACAATGGGGTCAGGTAGGGGAATAAGATATCCATCAAAGAAAAATGTGTGTATGGAATCTTTAAAAAAGAGCAAGGCGGCCTAATCTCTGAATTATAGTGATGAAATAACAAGCACCAAAGAGAAATCATAGACGCAATTCTTTCCCAAATAAAATGGCAAATCAAATCCTAAAAAATTGAGACCATTCCTCTCTGATTAAACAGGGCTGTAAAGATAGTATACTGCTACAGAAAACGTGCCTTCTTGTAAAGCCACCATAGATATGGACAAATAGAAATATACATCAAACATGCAAAATTCTTATTCCAAAGGAAATTGGCTAGAGCGAAAATACCACACTACAATGTTATTTAAAGGAGAGTTGTTAGTTTGTTAACTAATACACCTAAACATTAGATTTATTTTATTACTTTCAGTACTATTATTAATTTTGTTTTCAACTTGAAGATATTTTATCTTCATCCCCTTACACTTTGCACATTCATCTATCTATCCACTCTAATAATATTATTATTCTATAGAAAAATGCTCAAGAGTGTGATTATTGCATCTTCTGTAATCTGAGCATGACTTCAGATAAGAAACATTTTACCAAACACCTAGAGCTCCAAACAATAAAGTAGCATAATCTGATGCCACCAACCTAGAGAACCTAAAAATAAAGAAAACAACGATGCGATGTGATCCATCACGTTATTGAATAAGAAAAGAGACTTACAATCTCAGACTCTGAAAGAGAGCAAAGGCAAGCAACATCTTCAACCCTAGTCTCGCAATTTTGATCTGGTTCAACCATGTATTTCAACCTTTTCTTCAGTTGTCTGTCCTTCATACGACCCAATTGAGGATTATAAGATCTGAACTCCTATTAAAAATTTAATCAAAACAAAACAAAGTGTTAACTCAAAAATAAAAGAAAAAATGTAGCGTTTCTAACCGACACCAAAAGTGAATAATGAATGGATGGTAACAAAATTAAATATATATCTAACTTTCATTAGTAGTCAATAGCGCTTGTCGCGGCCGCTACCGCGGCGCGTCGGAGCGGCTCCGTGCCGCTTCAGAAAGTTTGTTGCGGAGCGCTTTAAAGGAGAGGTCGGAGCGGCCGCGAATGCGGCGGAGCGTGGCAGCGCGATCGCGGGTGGGCGACAGATTTTCTCTTCTTTTTTCGGTGGATATCCGTCAATCTGTCTCCTACGACGACGGCTCTGTCTTCTCCGACGGTGGCTCTGTCTTCTTCGGCATCTACTGACCTGTCTTCTTCTAAGAGGGAAGACAGGCAGGCGGTGACGGCTGGATTGAACGGTTGCAGGAAAAAAAAATAGGTCGGAAAAGTTGGGCCGTCCAACTTTTATTTTCTCTTTTAATTTCTCTATTATTTTAGAGAGTAACCTTTCTTTATTTTTAATTATTATTATTATTATAATTCAGATAATATTTTAAGTAATAAAAAATTTAATATAAGATTTAAAAAAAAAAATTCTTAATTTTTTATTTTATTTAACTAC